TAAATAATAAATTAATAAATAAAATTTAATAAAATTGAAGTAAAAAAACTGTGTATTTTTAGAATATTGTGTTATTTAATCTTATGTTTTTAAAAGAATTGCAATGATCGTTTTACAGAAAAAAAAAGTTAAAGAAAAAAGTTAAATTAAAAAAAAAACGATAAATCAAAGAAAAAAAAAGAAAACCATTTTGAAGAATCGAAGAAAACAAAATTATTTCTGAATCAATTAAATATTATTATCATGATCCTAATCATGATGAAAGCTCGCTATTATCCGATAAGTCGTTGTGATACATAATGAAAATCACGGTATAATATATCACCTGCTTACATAAATAGTAGTATAAAAATTGATCTATATTTATCTGTCACATGGGTAGTTCATATTGCGATTTACGAAATTGTTGACTCAGGATAGCCAATCATTTAACTGTCCCTGCTGTTGGGTGTTAGATACCAAATGATTAACTATCATAGAGCAGCACTATATAATTGGCCCACTATGTAAAATTTTTGAAATTTTGTCGATCAATTTATTGAAAAATTTTAACATAGTAATTAGCGCTTTGTAAGTTTGGTATAGCTATCATTGCTATATTTGTGAAGTTATGTGATTGGCTTCATGTGGTGTGGTTACTTTTTTTCCTATATTAATATAAGGAAAAAATTGCTAACAAAACCAAAGAAGAAAATTTTTACTCCTGACATTTTTTGTGAATGATAGATGCTAAAGCTCAATAGAGCTCTAGCTTTTGTGAATATAGCAGACCACAATTTGATACAATATTGATTTTTTTAACAAAAAATATCATTTTATATTTTAATAACTGCTCTTATCGACATTTATATACTAATTTATCTAATTAATTTATTTTTTGTATTTTTTTCTATCAGATTATTTAACAGTCTGATAAATTGATAATTACTGATTATCAAAGACAAAGCGAAGAATATAGCAAAGAAAATAGCAAAGAAAATAGCAAAGAAATGTTAATAAATAAAATAATAATAATAATAATAACAAACTAACCAATTATATTGTTGCAAAATATTGTTGCAAATGTTGTAATTATTATACGACAGGGTGAAACCCGCGCAGCCAGATAGTAAAACCCGCATTGATTGGTTAGATCAGGTGAAACCTGAGGTAGCAATATAAAATTCGCGCTTAATATTTAGAATAAGTAAAACCTGCTTTTTATTAGATACTTTTAAATAAATCCGCTTTTTATTAGATAAATTTCACTTTTGCTTTATTTTAATATATAAAAACTGCTTTTTACTAGATAAACTTCGCCTTTTCTTTACTTTATTCGTAAAATCTGCTTTTCTCTGGGTGAAACTTGTATGGAAATTTGAAGCACATGATTTGATTAACGGTTAAATAATCTCTAAATTTACCTTTTTCACCTTCTCTAAATCTCTAAATATCTTTCTAATTTTTGATTCAAATTGAATATATACTAGACTTCTATAAGTATACTTATTGTTTTTTAAATACATACCGTTAGAAGTTCGGTCTCTATAGGGTGCTTTTAGAGAGATTTCAGTACGAAGATACTAATGGCATTATACCGAGAGTTACTTAAACTTGCAGATCTAATATTAGGAAGATATTTTATAATACTTTGTTAGCTTTTATATACAACAAGCTTGGCATTTATCATGTGTAGAAGGTTATCTTTTTACAGGTTATTATGGGAAATTTTAGCAGGTTTCATCATGTAAAGCCTTTAGCAAATCCAATAATATGGATAATATGCATGAACATGGTATCTCACATGTAATCCTAATATAGTTAGACCTCTCTAAGTGTACGCCCTTGGGACCACATATTAATAACTTGCATATAGAGAATAATAAGAAAATGTGCATTTATGGAGGTCAAGTATATATTTGGGCAAGCATTTGAGCGTGCATTTAGAGAGGGTATACACTTATAGAAGGTGCACTTAAAGAGGTCTGACTGTATAACGATTCAAGATGAATAAGCAGAAATAAAAAGGTCGGCGATTGTGTGAAAAGATTTCAACTTTGAACTGATTACATTATTGAATAGACCATTTGATAGCACGATATCAAAGAAATCAGTGAAGGAAGATAAGACTCTGTATATTCCACAACCTGATTTGATAGTATTTCCTGATAGTTAGTATAACTATTTCAAGTGCTTTCTTATTTATATTATACATTAATTATACAACTTAGTGATAATCAAATATTGCCGCTGAGCAAAGATCTGACATCGCAGAAAAAAATTGAAAAGGTATCTCATATGTAATTTTGGTATAATCCTGGTATAACGATTCAAAATGAGCAAATAGAAAAAAATTTAACTTTGAGCTGATTCGTGAAATTGTTAATAGATTAGATGATGTCAAAAAATCGATAAAGAAGAATTTGTATTTGAAAGGTGAGTGGTGTTTCACATGCAATCCTGATATAACAATCCAGGATAGACAAGTGGAAGCAAGAAGGTCAACAGTTGTGTGAGAAGATTTTAATTTGACTAATTGTATAATATATAGATATTATCGATAAACTAGGCAGTATCAAAAAGATTGATGAAAAACTTGGCTCTATATATTTCACAACCGGTTGGATAGTATTTAAAAGGTTAATAGTAATTCTTATGAACTATTTGGCATTGTTGTATACAGGATCTTCATGATTTTTTAAGAGATAAGTTGTCATTAATTATGCAAGTTTTTATTCATTGAACATATATTGAACTAATTTATTTATATAAATTTATGAGTTTGACAATCATATAAAATGTATTATACTGGCACTAGTCTTAAAATATATGTAGGTTCTTAAAAAGAAGCTATGATATTTCAAAGGATTCATGATGCAAGATATATTCAAAAGATTGTATTTATGAGAGTTTGCAAGATCAGCCATTTATGAAAGCTGCTAATCTTAGAATTATTATAGCAAAAATATCAATTTAACAAGGTCTTCCAATGATGAACCATTTGATGAAGGATTTTTGTAACAGATTGCATTCTGAATTCAGCCTTAAAATTCCCAATTGCTTTATCAAATTGCATTGATTCTAATTCACAAAATGGTTTGTTTGGTATATACATATTTAACAGCTTTTTTTTGTTTACTTACACAATTTGTGCTAGATTTACATTATGTTTATATATATAATATATAACAATTTGATACTATATTATGTGCGTTAATTCAGAACTCTTATGAGTGCTATTTGAAAATATATATATTAATTTTAAAGGGTCTAGTTTTTATATAGTGCAAAATTTAATGATATTTGATTCAAAGACTAGCTGTCGAACATTCCATAAACAAAGGAAATTTAAGTGAAAATAAGTTAGCTAATTGAGTTTTTATTACCTTTATTATGGCCAAAAAGGTTCTTTAATATATTAGCCTAAGCAACAATTTGTACCAAAAATGTGTCATATATAATTTTTATAAATTAAAATATATTCATATATTTATACAATTATTTTGAATTTATAAAATCTCGAATTATCAAATCAAACAAATTGAATCTTAAAAAAGCTATAATAAAATTCCAAAATTTTATTTTTTGGCACCGGTTTTTGATGACTATACATTTATACTATATATCAAATAAAGATACATTTGTAATATAAATAAATAAATAAATGTATAGGTTTTGCTACAGAACTTAACAATTTGCTTTCTATGAAATTATTAATTAAATTATCATTGATTTAATATTTGTTGGGCACAGGCATAAACACAAAAATATATAATCTAAATGTTACTGAGTTTTATTTACTATACACATGCAAAGTCTTTCGACGAATTGTGCAAAAAAGAGTCCCTAAAAAAATTACTGTATATACCGTAGTACACTAAGCAAAAAACCGGGGTCTAATACAAAATACCCACCAAAAATTTACAAAAGACCAAATATATTATTCAGTAGCAGGTCTGTGTCACAAAGAAAAAAATTTTCAAGTACATATATATTCTGCATTACAATAAGCAGTCTAGAAATTTAAAAAACCCCACATTTAATTAATAGAGATATTGTGATTTGCGGCAGGGTATTTTGTATGGAGGTACTCAAGAAGGGGTCTTTTGCTCAGTGCTCTACTGTAGTCATGTATAAGAGTTTTTTTTAGAAAACTTACGTAATATTTTTGCATTGTTTTTTGCTACTTTTGTATAATAATTCTCAATAAAAAAATTTTTTTTATGCAAGATTTGGCATTAGTCAATACCCAATTCAAAAATTTTCTGGGTCTTTAGACATGTGTCACTAATTCATGTTTATGTAGAATCTCAAAAAAAAAAAAAATAGATAAAATATGTCACCACACCTTCTTTGGTAGAGATAACTATTTATTTTTACCAGACATATGATAAGCGGTATATAAATTATTTAAAGTTAATTTTCATATTACTGTATTACTTATTCTGGAATAGTTTGGTAATGTTAAATTCACCAGGAGGATACGGTAACGGTAATATTATTTAAGTTGTAGTTAAGTAATTTTATTACTGACAATCAAATAGAAGCAATATGCCGCCACACCTTTTTTGGAAAACTTTGAAAAAGTTGATTCCTTTTTTTTATCTAGATGTAACCAGGTCAATATCGGCATTACTTTCAAAACCACTGCTATCAGTATCAGTACTACTGCTACTACTGCCACTAGTAGAAGATAGTACGAGTAGTGTTTTTTTATGTTCTATATATAGATATATATGTAAATACGTATATGGTTCAACTTAATAATGTGTAATATATCTA